CAATATTGTCAAGCTCTTCAAGAACTTCAGCATAAAATGGTGTCAGTTAAGTCAGAATTTAAATATAAATTGGTAATGTTATATTACTATTTTTATTTTTATTTTTTATGAGAGAAGATAAATAATTCAAGATTATAAATATCTTCTATTTTAGCTTCAATTATTTGATGATCAATTGAACCCTATTACCGATTGTTTTGAAGATAAGAAAGATTTTTAAATAAAATCGGTGTAATCAAAAATCTCAATGATTTTTTATATACAAAAATGGATTTCGATGCTCCACGAATTTAATCGGGTTGTATATATAAATATAAATATATATATTCAAGCTTCCCAAAAAATTTTTAACGAATATTCAAAAGAAAAACTTCGATTTCTGACAGTAATGGTTTGTTTAAATTATCGTTGTACGTGATTACACACTAACCTTCTTGGCTTGGAGGTTTTTATCTTCCATATTCCATGTGATTGTTGATTATACAATTGTTGGTTATCTTAATAAACCAACTAAACTTTTTTATTGTTCATCTATTCATCCATCCATTTACAAATTTATTCATAATACATAAATAAACGTAGAAAAGATATTTATACATATATACAATAATATATAATTAATTCCTTTTTGTTTAATAAAACACTTTTGTGTCGGAAATTGCAATAGCAGTAGGATTTGATTTTTCGTCTGGTTATCAGAGTGATATAGAACTCTGAGGTTTTGAGTATTTGCTTTGGTATAAAGTAAAGGTTTGGTTTTTGGTTTTGTTATGCATAAAAATTTTTGTTTAACTTTTCGTAAACGGGTTTAATTGTTTAGGTGTAAACGTAAGGTGTTAATACCAGTGTCGTTAACGATTATTATTGATCGACTACCTATACAAAGAGCTAACAGTTGCCGTTATCACATGTTGTATTATTTTAAAGTAATTGTTGTAAATATACGTCTGACTTTAATCGATCAAAAAAAGTAAAAATTAAAATAAAAACTTTGTCGCTTTTATTATGATTCGTTGCAATAAAGCATGGTAAATTCGTAAAATAAATTAGTTGACGAGCATCGTATATTAATGCAATTAATTGACAAGTGTAACTAAAATGTTAAATTGAACTCGGCCATACAATCGAGGTTGACCAAAAAGCCACCTCGCAATATCCCAAACATTTTATGTTTAAAAAAAGTTTAGGTCTTTTTCAGGACTTAAGCCCGGGTGTTTAAATACTTTGAATTTTATTTAACACCTGGATAATCGGTTATCGTTATTATTATTATTATTCGCCGAATATCCGTTGAATCTCCTTATTTAATCAATTTAATACAAAAAATATAACATTATATTCATCAGGAAAGATATTTCAATACATTCATATTTTTTTTAAGAAAGAAATATATACAACCCTTTCAAATAACAATGGATTCATTTTTGTTCATTTGGCTGTCATTGTGTCTCCAGCTTCACTAAATAGACTCTCACTTGGAGTAGAAGTTGCTACAATACATGTAATACATAAATATTTTTAGCTAATAATGACGCAGCTGGGTATTCATTTTTGTGATTCTTCTTCCATCATATAAAACGGATATATCCAATCAATTCCATCTAATAAGAAGAATGTCGGTGATAATGTAATAGTGAAGATAAAAAATAGTACATGTAAAAAAAGAAAAAACACATTTGCCGTGTCACGATCTCCTTCCAAAACCCGTAAGTTGTGCGACTTTCGTGTAGGTCTGGTTTTTTCGGTTTTGACGCGATCAACGTTTTCACCATATTTAACAAAAATTTATCGTACGGCAAATGGTTTGTGTTAATTAAATATTGCAATACTTCTTTGAATCGAATTGCAAATCGAAGCAATGCAAGTGTGATCGGAAAAAATCTTTGTTTTTCAAACCTAATTTTTTGGGAAAGAATTTTTCGTTTTCGCTGGGTGGTAAAAAAAATTTTTTTTTGAAATCGATCCAGCTCGCTCTTTTTGTAAAGGAAAGAAAATCAATGCTGAAAAAATATTTAATAAAGCAAGAGTAAGGTTATTTGTCATATGGTAATGACAATAGAAAATGCATTAATGTTGGTGGTATGGGTAGATACACTCACTAGACAAAAGTCGGGCGCATTTTTAAACAAAAATTGCACATTGTTTTGAAACTTAGGTTCACCAAATTATATATGCAAAATTTTGCATCTTTGATGTTTTTATTAAACCAATGATTAAAAAAAGAAAATTTCGACCAAAATTTTTTTGACAAAACAGGATCATTATTTTTTTTCTTTCAAAAAATGATTGTTGAAAAATGCACATAATAATCATACCCAAAAATTTAAAATTCGATACAAAGTAAATAATAATATTAATATCTTGTTGGCCATCCATTATTTTCAATGACTGCCTCAACTCTCCTTGGCATACTCTCAATCAATTTAATTAAGGACATCGTTTGTTAATTTAGGACGGCCTTTGTAACGAGATCTTTTCTATCAATGTAATTTTGAATAGTACAAGTCACTATTTTCCTATGAACACCAACAATTTTAGTTATTTTGTGGTTTGGTACATTATTTTTGTATAGACCGATGATTTCACCACGTTGACTTTCACTTAAGGGTGACATTTTTAAAATTTTTCAAAGGAATTGTTCAAAAATTTATTAAAAATGATGTTTGTTTACAAAAAAACACAAAACAGCATAGATACTTATTCAAGACGTTTGTTATCACATGCCGAAAATTCGAGCTTGGTTATTAAATACAATTAAATTTTTTTTTGTCAGAAAAATTTTTGGAAAAAATTTTGGTCGGATTTTTTATTTTTTTAACTGTTGTTTTCTTAGGCACAGTTATTTGTGTTTTTATTGTGTACAATTTTTGTTTAAAAATGCGTCCGACTTTTGTTTGGTGAGTGTATATATAAAGACGACGTAAATGACACAAATTAGGAAGCAATATGCAATAGATAGCAACGATAAATGCATTGTATCACATCCACTTGTCAAGCGGTTCTCTTTTTACTTATAACAGGCACTAGTTAATGGGAATCTTATCTTATTGCAAGCTTGAGATTGGCTCATTTTTGTATAAAATCTATTTCCTCAGTTGCAGAGATCTCTCCGATATAGTGTTTATGATTCATAGGATGATCTCTCAAAGAATATGAATCTCTACTATGTTCTCATATAACCCAAATCCTCCAATAAAACATCAATATAAATTTTAATTAGTATTTCTTAAGAAAAAAGTTATTACAATCATTCACTTATCAGGCCAAAAAATCACATCATTTTGCTAGTCGTTGTGATCCAATTCTACTACAAATCCATCAAACTTCGCATTTGTTCAGACATGGCTTTCAATAAATTTTTTATTAAAACATCTGGATTAACATTTATATCAGATGATGATGATTTGTTGATAAGATCATGAAACTTAAGTGAATGTATAATTGATTTGATTACATCAATAGATTCTGTATCAGAATGATGAGCATGTTAATGGTATTGGGAATATGTTGAAAACTTAATAAATATTTTTCATCCTAAATTACAAGATGAATATATGTATGTGTTCGTGCTTGTATATTAAATAATTAAGTTATATTAGTTATTTAAAGATTTCATCAATTGAATACATCGTCTATGCTATTATTATTTTTACTGTTATTATTTTTAAGTTTCTTCTTTTTATTATAATTTTTCATAGCGTCTATGTATTCTTTTTGATCTTCACAAAGTATTGGGTTGTTAGGATTACGGCCTCCTTTGGGGTTTGGAATTGAGTACTGAACAAATGAATATATAATTGAAAATATTAATAAGCAAATAATATAAATATAAATAAGACATTAATTTAAATTTATTGTGATTACCTTAGTGCCACGTAATTTATATTGAAAATTTTTCTTTAAATAATATTTGACGTTACCATTTGCATCAGTACTTGTAGAAGTACGGATTAATGTTGGTCCGCCACATTTGGGACAAAATTTTTTTTCCATGTTGGTAGTTATTCTAATGCCAATAAATATAATTTCACATTATTAATATAAATATAATATAATCGGGGAAAAATAATTAAAATAATTTTATGTACTTGTAACATGCATGACAACGCAAGACCCAATTTTTTATTTGTTTGATTCTTTTACCCTCCACAGATATTAAATTAAGCCCCATTTGTAATAAAACATTCTATTATATAAATATAATTATTTACATATATATTTATTAAAATAATAAATTTTTTTTTTGAAATATACATACTTGCATACTATAATCAATTGTAGTGCATGCAACACCTATTGTTTCTTCTTCTTGTATATCAATGGATAAATCTCGATTGTTTTCTATATGTTTTGATATATTATCTGGAGTTATCCAATCACCACCACCATCATCAGCATCATCACCAACGCTACTATCATTGTCATTGAATTGTTGATTATTCATGATGTTATCGTTATTATTAGATTTACTTGCATCTGTCGCAGAGTCTTCATCATTATGTTTATTATTATTAGTATTCTCGTTGGGTTTATTTGAATCTTTTCCTATTTCATTGGATTTAGAATTTGCTTTAATGGGTCCTTTACGTAAATTATCAGCGCCGTTAGTCTCTGACTCAATCATATAAGTCAAAGCCAATACTTTAAAATCAACTACTGATAAATTTGCAAAATCACCAGTTTTTTTTGAAAAATTCATCACTAAAAAGTAGGTGAGTTAGAAAAAGAAAATACATACATTTTTTTTTATTATTTTGTAAATATATTAGTTAAAAACCTTCTCTTAATGCACTATCAGAAGGTCTCTTTAACTTGATGTCAAAAGAAATTTGTTTAAAGAAGTCTCTGGCATGTTGATCACGAAGTTCTGAAACTACTTCAGGTATAGTGTATACATTTTCAGCTAGTGAACGAACATCCGTTAATTTAATAAAAGGTCCGGAATCCACTATTAAGTGTTTAATTTTTTGACGATTAGTTGTCATTTTCTAAAAAAAATTTTTTTTTTTTAAAGATCTTGAATTCTGATGTTTGTAGATCTGTGTATCTCACGTGATAATAATCAAAAATACAAAATAATGGTGTCACAATAATATAGAATCACATGACTCGATCATTTATGGGTTTCTATTTGAATAAGATTTATTCGAATTAATTGTTTATTTGTTATTATTATAAATTTGAATTCCTAATTACATTAAAAGTTTATTTGAATAAACGAATAAAACAAATAAATGAATAAAATGAATAATTTGAATTTGAATAATTGAACAAAATGAATAAACAAATGATTTGAAACAAATAAATGAATTAATAGAGGTAGTATTATATACAGAAAGGATCTTTTTATGAAATATACATAAGAATTAGAGCTGGTAAACACTCTGTAATTCCTGCCACCCAACCCACAAATTTAATCATTACGTCATCAATGAATGTCACTTGGGTTTTACAAAATTTTTGAGCTACAATTTAGTTTCCTTTTTTGTATAATGAATTGCCATTTTTGGTAAGGTTCTGTATATTCCATTAAAAGAACATTGGTATATATTAAAACAATATTAGCTAATATACGTCAGCGCCCTTATTATCAGACATTTTGAAATTAGTTTTTAATTGGAAGAATTACACATTAATAGAAACCGGATTCAACCCTCTTTTTTTTTAAGAACCATTTATCTATTTCAAACCGGTTACAATTTGGAACAAATCGGATCCAAACTCTGATTATTATTTGTCCATTAATCGAATTGTCATATAAGATTTTGTTTTTCACAACTCATACAAAGCTTGTACTTGATGTTAGGACTACCACATTCTAAACATTGTTTTTTGATTTTAATAGTAGTAGAGCCCTCTTTTTTTCTTTATTTGTTACATCTTCGGGGTTGTTGGCTTCTCCATGAAGAATATGACGACTATCTGTTATTTATTTATAATTCGCTTGTATTATTGATAAATAAAAGATGCCGATTTTTATTTTATTCAACAATATACGAAAGGGACCCCGTTACTTCCATTATATATACTATCAATTGTATAAAGCTAGTCGAAATAAAACTAATTTGGGCGAAGTTGGAGATTACACGCTAACGCGTATGCGATACAGGTATCAAAATAAAAAACGGGTTGTCTATCTGGGGTGGTGGTGTAAGTGTTTCTATGTGCACAACATGATTGAAAATCCTTTTTGACATAAAGGATATTGTAAAAAAGCATTCACTTGGAGAAAAGTGACGTATTTTATTAAAGAGCTCTGGTCAAAAAGAATTTTTATTGGTGGTAAACTCATACAAATTTATTTATACTTTTCTTTTATAAAGAATCAGCTGCTAGTTGAAGCTTAGAGATTCCATGCATGATATTATTCCAATTATTTATTCGAAAAAAAATCTAAAGATCTACATTTGATATAAAAAAAAATTTCAGATTTTTGAAGATTTTTTACTAGAAAAAAATATGGCAATTAAAAAAGTTGAAATCTCTACAAAAAAAAACCCCAAAGTTCAAAAACCAAAGAAATCTAATTTTGGAGTAAGCTGTTTTGAATTTATAAAAAAAACTTTTTTAAAATTAATTGATGGAATTCGATTACTAAATTAATGATCAATGATATAGCAACTTAAGGTCGGGGCTCATTGCTTAGGACAAATAACCCATATTAATCAAATGGATCTAAGAATTTCACTTCCTAATCAACTTACAGGATCGGTTTCAATAAATGAAATTTCTGATGAGCTATCAGAAATCGTTGATAAATATGTTAATGATGAAGAGGATGATAGCGATCAAGAAGATGATGATGAAAAAGAAGACAATGAGGATTCACAATTACCAAACTTGAAAGAATTGTTTAAAATAGGTCAATGGGTTTCTTGTGTAGTTACAAGAATAGATAATAAATACAAACGAATTCAGTTAAGCCTGAATCCAAAAAAAGTAAACAGCAGCATTGTGAAGTCTGATTTATCAAAAGGAATGGTACTTGACTAAAATGATTTATACTTTTATTTTTTAAATGTATATACATATATATTAAGAAAAAATCGAGTTAAATTGATTTTTTGATTTTTATAGATATTATCTGCATCAGTAAAAAGCATAGAAGATCATGGTTATGTTCTTTCGACAGGATTTAATAATATCAACACTTTCTTAAATAATAAAAATTCACAAAGCTATATTAAAAAGTTTAAGAGTGGTAATCAACTTACAATTGGTCAAGTATTAATTGTCAGTATCATAAATGTTGCAGAAAAAGGTCGAACTGTTAATGTGACAGCTGATATTGAAACTATATCAAAAGACAAAAAATTTGAACAAATTAAAACAGATAAACTTATTTCTAATAAAAAATCCACTGATGCAATGGATGTTGATTTGAATGAGGTCAAAATAGGCGAGGTTTGTAAACTCTCATATATGTTTTAATATAATCTATTTTTTTCAAATACTTATATATGATTTATTGAAAAGTTATCCAATGGTGAAATAATCCAAATTAGTCAAGACTCAATAACAATATCACTTCAACCATCACAAATTCGAGCAAGCTTAAGAAATGGTCATTTATCAGATCATTTGACACCTTCACATCTTTCTAATATGATAAAATGTTTAAAAAAAGGAGATGTTTTGAATGATCTTTTAATTATTTCTAAAAATGAGGAAAAAAGGTTTGTAACTGTTAGTCACAAACCTTTATTAATTGAAGCAGCAAAAAAGAGTCAGTTACCTTCTTCTATTGAAGAACTATTAATTGGTAATGTTTATCCAGGGTATGTCAAGAGTATTACTGATTATGCTGTGTTTGTTGGATTTCTTGGAAGTTTAAGTGCCAAAGCTATGAGACATGTATGCAAATAACTTGAAAATGTTTTTTTTTATGATTGTGATTATTTGCTTATCACTATTTTTTTTTTCTATATATATTAGAAAGTAGCTGAAAATTTTATTTCAAGTCCAATTGGAATATTTTATCCTAATCAATCAGTTCTTTGTTTAGTGACTTCCATTGATTTAGAGAATTCCAGATGTGAAGTATCATTGAAACCTTCTGAAACACCTATTAAATCATGCCCATATCTTTCTGAGGTGGATTTTATCAAATCTTATTTTAGTGATATTTTACCAAAAAAAAATAAAAAAAAAGATTTGATCAATCAAAAAGTCAAGATAGGTGATATAATTAAGTGCAAGATTAAACAATTTTCAGAATTAGAATTTGGTGGTGGGTGGGTAGTTGATGTAATGTTAGATGGTAATAATGACAATGACAATGATAAAACAATTAAAGGAATTATTAATGAAGAGCAAGCTAAAACTAGAAGTGATCTTAAAAAAGGTGATGAAATATATGGAATGGTTATTGATTATGATATAAATGAAGATATTGTTGATATAGCTATTAGACCACAATTAATAAATAATAATATTAATATTAAAAAATCCAAAAGAAAGAAAAATAATGTAAGTTTAATTTATCCAAAATTTTATATAAAAAAAAGGAGCAGCAAGATATATCTTTTTTTTTTGAAGTTTTATATTAATTTTATTTAATTTGCAGAAAAAATTGGCAAATAAGATTGCTACAGAGACATCTATTGAAGCTTATATTGAGTTAGTAAAGGAAGATTATGTTGTAATATCATTACCAGAATATGAAAATTCATTAGCATTTGCTTCAACAAAAAGTTATAATTATAGATCAACGCCTTTTATGAAATTTAAATTTGGACAAAAAGCAACTGCTCAAATTTTTTATTTGCCAAATAACAAAGAAAATATCAATAATGATGGACAACTAATTGATAGAGCATTGGCAGTATTGCAATTACAAACCGAAGAAAGGTTGTCATCAATTAATAATAATAATTATTATAAAACATTGAATAATTTTCATAAAGGGCAAATAATCAAAGGTGAAGTTACTGGTGTAGAAAAATATGGTATATTTATAAAAATAAATAATAGTTTGGTTGGTGGGTTATGTCACATATCAAAATTGTCAGATGATTTTGTTAAAGATGTAAATAAACTTTATAAAATTGGGGATAAAGTTAAAGCAGTTGTATTGGAGATAGATCATGAAAAACAAAAAATCAGCTTTGGATGCAGAAAAAGTTGTTTTGAAGGTATTGAAGATGGCGACAGTTGTGGTGATGATGATGATGATGATGATGATGATGATGATGATGATGATGATGATGATGATAAAGCAAAAAATGATATGGATGTATGTATCAAAATGATTTTATTTATTTATTATTTAAATATATTAAAATAAAATTATTATTTAGGTTGATGAAAAAAAATCTAATTCAAATAATTTAAAATGGGAAATTGATTCAGAAGATGATGTGCCTGATTATGTTGAAAGTGATGATGTTGGTGATGATGTTGATGCAATGAAAGTGGACATTGTCAAAACACAAGAAACTATCACACCATTAGTTGTCTCTAATAAATGGAAATGGAATGGTGATGATGATGATGATGATGATGATGATAACAATAATAATAACAAATCAGAAAAACATCAAATTGACTCACAAGAATCATCAGATTCAGAGGATGACTTATCAATGTCAGAAAAGAAGAAAAAGAAAAGGAAGAAAAAAAAGCTTGAAATTGTGGAAGACCTTACATTGGATTTGTTAAAACAAAGGCCAGAAGTGAATGCAGATTATGAAAGATTATTATTGGGATCCCCAAACTCATCATATCTGTGGATAAATTATATGGCACATCAACTAAAATTATCAGAAATTGAAAAGGCAAGGGAGATTGGAGAACGAGCACTTAAAACAATAAATTTCAGGGAAGAAGAGGAAAAATTTAACATTTGGATTGCCTTGTTAAATCTAGAAAATAATTTTGGTACAAGTGTAAGTATGAGCGAAGTGTTGAAAAGAGCTTTATTATCATGTGATCCAAAAGAACTTTATATGACATTAGTTGACATTTATGAAAAAAGTGACAAAGAAGAGGTAATTATTTATTAAATAAATATTTTAACTATTTGATTATTTGCACATACTAATCTAAAGTTTGTTATATAGCTTACTGAACAAACTTATCAATTGATGAGGAAAAAATTTTCTCAAAGTTCTAAAGTTTGGGTAAAAATAGGCTTATATTATCTTCAACATGGAAAATTAGAAGCTTTACATGACCTAATACAGAAATGTGTTAAAATATTGCCAAAATATAAACGTAAAATGATTTATTATTACTATTATTATCATTACTGTTATTTTAATTAAAAAGTAAATACACATGCATATTTATATTTTAATAATGATAGATGTTAAAACTTTATCAAAATTTGCACAAATGGAATTTAAACATGGTGAGGCAGAAAGGGGGAGAACAATATTTGAAGGAATGATGAATAGTTATCCAAAAAGAGTTGATTTATGGTCAATATACATAGATATGGAAGTTAAAGCAGGAGATCAAAATATAATTCGGTAAATTTATTATCATTTATTTATTATATGATACTTGACTTTGATATTGAATAGTTTTCTTTATTAATTAGTCGATTGTTTCAACGTGTTACATCAATGAAATTTTCTACCAAAAAAATGAAATTCTTATTTAAAAAATGGTTGGATTATGAAAATGAATATGGCAATGAAGAAAGTGTTGAAAATATTAAAGAAATGGCTAGAAATTATGTTGAGAGATTAAATTAATTTCACATTTATTTTTCTAAAAAAAAATTATTATCTTAAAATAAATGAATTTTCTATGAATCTTCGTTTTTACTCAATTTGCATCAAAGATGTCAATTGGACTTATCCTGGCTTTTACTTCATTGTGAAATCTATAAATCAAAGAAGAATCTAGCTATATCATCCCCCCAAAAAATTGGAGTATGCTCCTATTAGAGTTCTGCAAGTGACCATTCCAGGAACTAGTGCCAATGCCTCCGAGTGCCTGTCACTTTTTTATTAGGCACCAATGCTTCTCTGCCAAATTCTAATAAAAAATTAGTGCGTAACATGTCGAAACTCTACCGATTGATTTCCGGAAGAGTTTTGGCAAGCGACCATATCCCTGCTGAATATTTTTATATAGTAAATAAATTTATACCTTTGCAAATGAAGAGATAAATAGTTTAACAAAGTGCAATTTTTTTTGTCACCGCCTTTTTTCTTAACGCACTGTAATACATAGGCAAACTCAATAAGTCAGCCGCGAATGGCTGAGAATGTTTGGCTGACTTATCGAGAGAACCGACTTATCGAGACCGTCTTACAGAGAGCACGTGACATAAAATTTTTACCTTACAATAAGACATAATAAAACAAATAAATGTATTTTCACGATACAAACAAGAATATTCTTTCTAAATTATCAGGCAATAAATTATACAATCAATGATATATAACTCAATGATACAAAAATGAAATAATAAAATATCGCGACAAGAATTTCTAGATATAATAATAACGTATGATGTAAAATAAAATAAAAAAAATCATACGTTACTAAAAGTAGTAATGATGATCTTTTATTTAATGAAAATGACACGTGATGCTAACTTATAGAGAGCAATTTACTTATCCTAAAAGAGGGATTGGCTGACTTACAACTTATCGCGACTTTATATAGGTTGGCAGACTTATCAAGGGATTTTAAATAGGGAAAAAAGGCAGAAAAATTTTGGCCGAGTTAGGCCAGTAATAAAATTCTCGATATGCCATTTAAAACTTCAGATTTCAATATTAATATTAAAACTTTAAAGCCATACAAAATCACTAATACTAATTTATTAACGAATTAACGAAAGAATACAACTCAATCAAATCAGTGCAACATACTTTGTAACAATTTAGAAAAGATTGGCAA